CATCCTTAGCTGGCTTAGAGTGGAAGCCTTTGTCAGCTCTCCTCTGGATGTAAGCCTGTGTGCTTTGTCCTGTCATTAGACTAGGACACTCACAGGCTTTTCTGTGCATTTTGCTGTTCAGCATAGAGTTGAACAAGCTTGGCGCCTTAGATGACTTCCCTTTGCCATTTTTGAGCTTCCTGGTGTGGACTCTTCATAGTCCTTTATTAGGTCTCCAGCTTCTTACAAAAAACCCTCTTCTTCTGCCTCTCAAACAAAGGTGAGCTTAAGTTGTCTCTAAGAATGCTAAACATGGAAAGATCAAGCTGTTGGGGGGAAGAGATTCCCTCCTCCCCAGTAGTTATTGTTCTTCTCTTGGTCATTCTGTGAAGTGTCTGTGCGTACGTCGCTATCTCTACTAAACAGTGAAAATAAATCTTGTCACCTAAGCAAAAGCCTAGTTTCTAGTTAGCTTTTGGCCAAGTAAAGCCAACATTTACAAGTTAGGCTTGTAAACAACATTTCACGTGAATAGTATTCATTTTCAGTCATACTCTTGCATAGTCTTACCCTTCAAATACAGTACAGCACTGAAAAAATAGAGAGGGGAACCGCTGCCAATAGCTAAAATACACTGGTATAGATGTAATGTACTAGAAAAGAACATTGCAGGACATGTACACATTTCTTATGTAATGAAGTAAAAAAATACCAACTGATAATTCAAATAGCTGTTACCACTGATTAAAGTGCTATGTATTGACCAAATAACCTGGAAAGAGGTTACTTGGTCCTTGGGAAATAACTGTCAGAGAGCAGCAGGCCCTGAAGCATTTATGAAGGCCCTGGCCTGCCTGCTGACGGCTTCCAAAGAACTGGGGTAAGGATGTCATGGCCTTTCACAACTAAGGTGGAGGTTGTGTGGTCGTTACATTGATCGTGCAGTGATGCATTTTTGTCTCTCTCTCTTTTTTTTTTTTTTTTTTTTTTTAAATACATAGGTGGCTCACATGACAAAAAGTGAAATCTGTCTTCAGGACACTGCATTTATTGGGCCAGGACTTCTGTTTTTGGACCAGTACTTCAACAGTTTCATTGATGAATATGTTGTTCTATGGATAGCACTGGTAAGCATTTTGTTCTATACTTTCCATTTGGAGCCTACTTAAAGGAATGGATTGAGAACTGTCCCTGTCATTCTGCTCTGCCATTTCTGACTTGCTCGGATTTCAGCTGTCGCTGTGGAGGGAGTGCCAGGACGCTGTGTAAACATGTATTTTGGGAGCTGACTGGCTTTCTTTCCTTGGAACAGAGATGTACAGATCTCTTTTGTAATTATGCTTTAGTTCAGGTGATTTGTTTAAAATTATTCTGCTAATTGCAGACTAACAACTTTTGCAAGACTTCAAGTGTTTAATGCTGTTTGGTTTTTGGCTTGTTTTTTTTTTTTTCCTTCTAAAATAGACCACTTTATATTTATATGTTAAAATTCTTGTTAAAAGTATAGATGAATTTATAGTTGCAACAATTTTAAAAAATATTTGTGGGTTGTTGTTTTTTTTAACCTGTTTTGTTTTGTTCTTTTGAAGTTCATATCCTTGTTTGATATGCTGAGATATGCCACTGGTGTATGCCTACAGATTGCTGCTCATCTTCATATACATGTCTTCAGAATTTCATCTCATCAAGCTCCTGAACAGGTTCAAAACCATAATGACTGATTAAATAGGTCAAGAACAAGAGGAGAAGCAGTTAGGGGAAAGCTGAATGAAGCAGCCTCTTTTTTGGGAAGACAGATTGAGCTTTTGAAGAAAATAGTTCGATGAGAAAGCTCGCTCTGTCCCAGATACTGCTGGATGTTAGAATTACTAAATATAAAGTCCTGCAGATTCTATTGTGATCTTTTGAACCAGGATGTATTTCCCCCTGTGTTCTAGACATTGCAGCTGTTACTTCATACCATCAATACCACATCTGAAACTTTTTCCACTCCCTGATAGGTAACCTTAATTCTGTACTTTGGTCTGGTGAATACAGACTGCAAAGCAAGGGGCTACCAACCAGAATTCAAAGAGGAATCTCACTTTTCTCTAGACCGAGTGACTAATCTCCTAGCGTTAGTTTCCAAGTCTTCTTGGAACTGCTGTGAGGTGGTAGTCGGAGATATCGATGAATACAGTACGGTGTTATTAAGACTGGTAAAATGAGGCATCCATGAGGTAAAACTACTTGTTAATCTCTGATCTGGCATGTCTAAAGAACAAACTACTGGATCAGGAGGGTGAAGAAGGTATAGCTCAGGAAACTATTCTTATATTTTAAAATACTGTTATGAGTGCCTTTAGGATTCATGCATTCTCTAAGTATATAACGTACTGTTACTGAATACAATTCTAGCTTGTATTTTCTTTCAAGGCCAGTTTCTGGTTTTGTGGTCATAATAAGGTTTGCCTCATTGTACTCCCTCATTATCTAGACTATAGGTAGTTGTGTACTTCGAGGACACTACCTTTACCTACCCTAACTTATGTCTCTGAAACTGCACAAGTGAATGACAAAGTTCACTGATAAACTTAAATGACTGTGACTGTTTGACTGTGACAATGCAACCCACCCATCTGTAATTCCCTCTGAAGTATGTTTGCTATTGCTGTGTTCATCTACCTTATAAACTATCTAATTTGGCTTGTTACTATGACTGTACCTTATCCAAACAAAGCTGCACGGTGATAAACCCTAATGTACAGTAAAACACTCCAAAACAGAAAGTCAGGCCGGCCCACTGTCAGCCTTTCTCCAAGAGCAGACCCACTGGCTGACATCATGTGCCTAGCTAAAGGGCTGTTGTTGTCACTAAAGAAAAGCTGAATAAAAGTGGCTTATTGTCTGTATGAGCAAATCATGACTTGTACACAACCCTGTAAGCTTAAGCTCCTTTAATGAGGTACTATTTGAATATGATTTTTGTAAAAAGCTGTTTAATGTGTCCATTATGAGCTGTGAGTTTATAAAGTCCTTCCTGAACTCTACAATAAAGAATGCCATGGTTTGTTTTAAATATTACCACTGCAGCTTCCTAGCTGCACATGAATTCAAAAAGACTTCCTGAGGTGTTCAAGGAACGTTAAAAGTGGTATATTGTCTGCTAAATTTGGGAGGGAATAAATTGCCATCTACCACACTCCTGCCAAAGAAAGATGTACCCATAGCCTTGAGGGATAACTGTAACAGTTACTACCAAAGGACTAGCACTCTAAGCAATTAGTATCAGTTCCAAATTAATGTTACTGCTGGTGTTTCAAGCTGGGAAAAGACACAGCATCTACACGTGAACTTAGCCTGAGCCCAGGCCAGGGATAAGAGAGAAGAGGGTAAAGACCATTTCAGTTTGTCTGAATACCGTAAACAAATTAACCACCTGCTGAAAAGACATAGGCAACTTTTTTTAGAATGAGAAGGTTGGCGTCCCCAGAACGTTCAAAAATTGTCATGTAGTAAATATTAGTAGCTTTAAGGATATGATTGAGGTATGTGGATGATAGGATATTGATGCAGAAATCAGTCAGAAAACCAGAAACATGAGGCAATACTAAGAAATAACCTAGTATTGAAGATAGGAAGCAAAAACTGTTACGTGCAGGCTGAGAGGGCTGAGACTCGGCAGCAGAGTTACAAATTAGCATAGTTACCTGTTACCTACCAGGGGCCCATGTTGCCTTTTAAATCATTCTAGCAGTGCAACTCCTGTGTTTGCTCCTTCCTTGAGTCCTAGCAGATGCAGAACAAAGAGAGCTCCAGACCAGTTTCTTGATCAACTTCAGTTGCAACCTCATAGCTGAAGTTTCTGTAAATTGTCTGTTGTTAATCTGGCTCACAGAACTGGAGAACCATCATCAAATGAACTTGATTCTGAACTAAAAATACTAGTAAGCTGAGGAGAAGAATCTGTAGGACTGGTTTTGAAATACATTGTTATGAAAACATCACATTTTGTGTGTGTGTGTGTGTGTGTGTGTGTGCGTGTGTATGTATGGTTTTTGTTTTATCTACTATTGTATTAAATCTAAGCATTGAATATGTTAGGAACTACGCAATTTGTAAAAGTGGATATTCAGGTGTAATGGCTTTCTACAAAAAACAAACTGCATGCAGGCTAAGCCTGTTGTTTAATTTATACTGAAGATAGTATACTGAAGATACTGATTTACTGTAATGAGATACATGAAAGATAAATGCTTTATCCTTAAAACTTAGGCCTCCCTAAATTGCTAGGCATTTGGAATTGCAAAAAGTAATATTCCATCTGCAAGGCTTGTAATGACTTGTACTAAATAAATGAGTTAGATTATTTCTAGCAGTGGTTCTACAAGAACTATGTACCCCACAATGTTTAATTACACTTACTTGAGCAGATGTTGTATAAAGCTGTGATGCTTACCTCATCATTCAGGTAAAGAAACCTGCTTTTTGGACAAATTGCAGTAGTTCATAAATCTCTTACCAGTACAAACATATGACAATGCCTAGCCTAACAAAAGAGTTAACAAAATTTACTTTATTTTACCATAATACATTTCATTAAACAACCTTACATGAGCCATGTCATACTCTGACTTGTTATAACTGCTTATACATCAGCAGACAATGTTGAAACTGTGAAAAAGTCTGCATCTTATGGAAGATGTTTCTATTTGCACAATGTATCTAAAGGCCTAAAGCTAGTATGTAAAATCTGGGTAATGCATTTTTCATTAGTTCTGCCCATTGTTACAATTTGGCATTATAAAAAGTAAAATAATTTAAAATGCTATTGAAAGTGAGTATTAAGTAGGTAAAGATTAATTGGACAGACAGTAAATGGTTTGGGGTCCACAACCCCAAAAAGTAATAAATTTACTAATATACATTCTTACAACATTATCAGGCAAAGATTAGAACAATCCATGAAAGTGTTTAATTGGAACTTTAAAACATTTAAATCGTAACATACTTCTCTATGGCTAATGCCTATACTTGTATCATGTTACTCAGGTACAAGTTGTTTCTCCACTGAGCCGTCAGAATAACATGGACTGAAGAGACTTGCGAACAGTTGCCATCTCCTGCTGTTGCTGTTACAAGAAAAGGAGATAATACTGAACAAATGCCATATCAGTGCGATTCCTTTGAGCTAATTAAATGAATATCAAATGACTTATTTATAGAATGTTCTATTTTTGCATTTAACTAACTTCTTCATAGATCTGATACTTACAGTGTCCATCATAATCTTCTTCTGCAACATAGCCATTTCTTTGCGAAGTTCACTTTGTGCACCAGCTAGAAGATTTTCATTGCTCTTCTCCAGCTCTTCCATGCTCTGAAGTTAAGGATAATCTTAATTCAGAACTGTTCATTGTCAAAGGGTTAATTTAAAACAAACAAACAATTATTCAGATTATAATTTAATTTTTACAGCAGCAGTGGTCACTGATAATTGATGAGATTTGTCACAAACTTGACAGACACCATACAGGACTTTGTACTCCAGTCTACCTTCCTGTTTAAACAATATGGACCCTCTGAAACAATATAGACTCTGTAAAGAAAATGGTCTCCTCCACTCAGCATCCGTGAGGTCTCAGCTAGTTATCCTGCATTTCAGTAAAGATAAGAGTTCTACAAGAAAAGATTAAACAGACACCTGTCAGGAATGAAGGATTTAATATTATGATAACCTTGGAGACTTGAAGTAAGGACTATAAAACCCATTAAATTTCCTTTTCTTTGAACACTTCTCCCCAAATAAGGCAAGTAAAGCTTGCTGATTATCTTTCCTTTTGTAATTTCAATTCTGCCTAACCCTATGTATGGGTGTAGTTGCATTTTCCTTGACTTGTATTTAGTTAAGCTTATTTGAGGCTTGATTTCTACCTTTTTGAGCTTCTTTGAGGAGAAAAAAATTGAAGTAATACTTGACCTTCTGTTCAGTTTTTCATCTTTGATCAAGATATTTTTGACATTTTGGAACAGTTACTATTTATTAGTGCTTCTGTAATATTCTCTGTAAATTCTGACTATCTTAAACTAAGCGTTGCTCAATTTCAGATTTATTTTTCAATGCTACCAGACTTTGGGGGAAAAAAAACCCAACAAACATAAAACTAACTGAAATTGTAAAAAGGGACCAGTTAGGAAATTATTTGAATAGAAATTAAGGTTTGTCAGAAACCATCAGACTTTAATCTGCCCTACATACCAGTATATACTGGGGGCCACACAGCTGGAAAGCAGCTTGGCAGAAAAGGACCTGGGAGTCCTGGTAGACACAAAGTTGAACGTGAGCCAACAGCGTGCCCTTGCTACACAACGGCAACAAGCCACCCTTGATCAGTATGATGTGTTTAAAATACATGATCTCTGTAAGCATTGTCCAAAAAAATGGTGTTTGCAGGGGCTCCCAGCAAATACACAAGTTAAGCAGAAAGCAACCTGAAAGTTAAATGGGACTGATTATGTAACCATCCAGCTGGGCCTGTTTTCCCCATAAATCATTATTTCCATCAGACATTTCAGTGACTTCCAATCCCTAACATTCTGTGATTCTGTGACTGCTGACCTTGAATACCAGGTTACAGAAAGGAAAACCCTTTCCAATCAGTGTTGCTTAGGAAGAGATTAAGGGAGTTCTAACTGGGCAGTTTTAAGAGAATTACAGCTGATTTTCTTTAAGGGTCACTTTCCTTAAATGAAGCAGCAATAGGTAGAATGGTTAATGGCAGAAGAAAACTGGTATCTAATTCCCATTATGGGGGATGCAGCTACCAGCAGTAATAAAAACAGTAAATTGCAGCCCAAGATGTATTTTTAATAGATTGTCAAGTTTCACTTTTTAAAGTATGTCTGAAAAAATCTAAAGGAATAATTAAGACAAAATCCTGATGATTTAACTGACCTCTATGACCTTTAAACTGCTACAAAACTGTTTTCTGTTTAGAAAGTATGCTTTGAGGGTTGTAGTTAAATATTTGAAACAGGCAAGCCAGTCAGATCCCCATGAGAACACTTTTAACTAAATCATTTATTAAACAGATGCAGTGTGTGTGCATGTATGAAGAGAACAAGCCATGTTCTTAATAAATAAGGGAAATACACTAATATGAATTTTCATGCAAGGCTGTTGTTTTCCTTAAATGAACCTTAAATCTCCATAATTTCATAAAGGTTGAAATAATACAACTTTCTTAAGCGATGTAATAAGTATCAGCTGCCTTCTAGGAAGAAAATTTACTGTACCTTTAAGAATTGCTCATAGAGTTGCTTAATGGTTTTCAGCCTCTGACTTTGAACTATTCTTGCCTGCTGAAAAACTTTTTGTTGCTGACGAAACATATTCTGAAGCAGAAGCAAAAGAAAAAATTAATCACATTAGTTAACCAAAAGCACTTGGACACTAATGTCATTTATTAGAATCAGAAATTCTGCCTTCACTGGAAGTCTGGGTCATGTAATGTACATCTCCTTGTTCTTATTAATGAAGGAAAGACTGAAGACTGGATTAAGCCCTGCGTCACCTCCTGAGGTTCCTTCCTATCAGAATTACCCCTCTGAGATCCTATGAGGACTGCTACCCAATGCAATTCCCTAGGGTATCCCAGGGAAATATGTCACCTTGGGAAAATCAAAACTTGCAAATGTGTTGGGAGTACAAATACAGCAACATCACGTGATTACATTCCACTGTGCAGCTCCTATCCCCTTTCAGTGATCAAATTCTTGTACATTTATTATATGCAGGCATACTTTTAAGCTATGCGTACTAAAAGACGACTACTTCCTTTACTCCTTTGTTCCCTGAACCCAGAAACTATGGATGCACAGAAACAACACACATCTTTCTTCTCCATAAATGGTCTTGGCTTTTGTGAAGCCATATGCTGGCAATTACTTATTACCGTTTATAAACTTGCAATAAAGTTTATAAATGTACCCCTCTTCACTTTAAAATATACTCCAAAACTTAAAACATTTATAGTTTGAGAGCCACGAAACTGGAATGAAATTTTTTAATCAAGAGGCAAACAATCGTATGTTTGTTTAAACTACATAAAGTGCTTTTACATTTCTTGGGTGTCTAAACAACAATATTCCCTTCTTGTGAAAATACTGTGAAACAAACATGCCACGCTGGAAACCCACCGCTAGTTTTTCTTCCTGCTCCTCTGCTTTCTGCACATCTGAATCCCATTGCTGAAATAAAGTCAAGAACTGCTGGGAGAACTCATGATTGAGCTTCTGCCTGTAAATAGACACTAGCTGTCAGTATGACAAGGGCTATGAAGAATTACAAGGAAAGCTAAGGTTCAACATACACATGGAGCAGAATAAAAGGAGCTGGCATAGATAAAGAAACAGGCTACTCTGACATCTGATCCTAACTGAATACCGTGTTTTGAAAAATTGAACACATACATACACACTTTCTGAGTGAATGCAAATATTTATATATCTATATAGATATATAAAATATATAAAAGGAGACAGCACTCAAATTCAGGTTAAAAATTACAAGTTTTCTTCCTAAAAGTGTCAGCTTTTCTGTGTTTTACTGTGTCTTTCTTGCCCAACTACAGATCTTGGCTTTAACACAACCGATTTATAATGAAAAAATGATTCGCTCATTCATTAGTTCATTACGCTCCAGTTTCTGTATGTAAACCTAAATTTTGTCAA